CCAGCACACCTTTGATTTTCAAGCTGCCCTCGAGCTCAAAGAATCTCTACACGTGCTCTCTTGGTGACTCGCTCTCAAGGCCATTGAATAAAGCATCGCTTTGTATCATAGTCACTGAATCTGTATCACGTGCTCTCTTTATCATAGTCATTGAATAAAGAATCTCTACTAGAGGATGTAGGATTGGCGATTGGATGTCCGCCGGCCTTGGGGCCATATACTACCCCATCATCCTCAGGGATTCCTATTCCTCTGCCATCCTCCGCCACATCGTTCAGTTGACGAGCTTGGGCTCCATCTTGCCTTTGGTTCCCCGCCATTTCTACTACAACGACGGGTTCAACTTCCCCTTCTTCAACTTCTTCTCCACTACACTGGGACCTAAATGTTGTCCCCTTCTTTCAATCCTTCTCCTTGCCCCCGCTAGCTCTCTATCCCTTGCTAGAAGCCATAGAGTTCGATTTATGTCCACGTCAAGTGGTAGAAAAGGTTTTGGGTTACTCCGAGTCATGCACCACCTACACTCAATCAGAAAACACACCAAGTCTAGCACAAGCAAAGCACACACACTTCAAAACTGGAAAATAAAAGCTAGATTAACAGCAAAAAACTTTTTCAAGATAATAGACTGGTGTCCCTGGCAACGACGCCAAAAACTTGACTCGTCCCGAATACCGCAATTATTTCCCGCCTAAAGTCCAAGTATAATCCTTAGTCGGGTGCAGTGCAGGAAAAGTATGTTTAAATATCAACCCGAGCCAGTCCGTCTACCCCCTACTTCAGTCATTTGAATCATTATCTAGCAATAAAGTTTTGGTTGAAAAATTTTCTAATATAAGTAAAACAAGACAAAGATGAATGGTTTTGAAAGGTCTTTTGTGGAAGGATCACTTGGGTGTCGCCTCCCCCTAACTACTACCATGGTATATGAACCGAAATGATTGCTATTGTCAAGGTGATCGCTAAATGCTAGGGAATGCAAATATGGTCGTAGACCACGCATATGATTGCTAAACCGAGGCATGCATTATAGGCTGTTACTAGGACCTCTTGGTTTAGGCAATCAATGGTTAACTTACTCTCTCACTTAACCCAAGGGTTGGACGGCTTAATCGCGCTTAACCAAATTGCTTAATCCAAATATCCAATATTGAGGTTTGCCCTAAATTAACGTAATTAGAAGAGTGAAAAAGCCCTAGGGATACCAACTCAATTGAGACTCCCTTGTAAGGGGGTTTCCCCCTCTAGTCTAGGTTAAGTGGCTAATTAGATTGCTAAGCATAGACGTGAACAATCCTTAGGTTGCTAAGAACCAATCATGCACAAACCGAAGAATGCTAAGCACAAACATGCACAATCAAGATGAATAATACATCAAACATTTGAATTAAACAAAACCCAATGAAAATCATTCAATTCACATAAAAGAAAACTACATGGTAGAGTTAGGGTTTCACAACAACCAAGTGAAAAGAAATCTACTCCATGCTAGAAATGGGAGAAACTCAAGGAGATGAGGTAAAAACCATATTGGAGGAGGCTTCCAATCTTCTTGGCCCTTGTGTTGAACTTTCACTGGAGAAAATCTTAACAAAATCCACATTGGAGCAAAACCCTATCATCCTTCTTCTTTGGTTCGTATTTCTCTTTCTAAAAATCAAAAGAAGGCTTTCTCACTCAAGTGGGCTCCTCCTCTCTCTTCCTTTCTGCTCAGCTTTTAAACAGGGAATGAATTGTGTTCACGTCTCATAGAGTGCATGACTGGGCGCCAATAAGTTTAGTTTAGGCAATCAGACAATTCTTTAGTTAGTCACAGAACAAGTACCAAGCATTATCATCAATCATTTAACACGTGTCTATTCACATAGTGACATTCACCATTTCATATAATCACATTGTCATCTTATGGCCTCACAGTATCACATTTCTGTCTTATAGGCTTTCCAGTAATCACACGATAGCCAATTAGGCTATCCCAGTATCCTCGTATAGCCATTCATTATTCCCCCACTGCCTCATAGTCTTTTTAGTACTGTAATATAGCCTTTTAGGTCATTTCATATCACATACACATTTCATTCCCCGTTCCAAATCATCATCTATCACGTTTCACACATATCATCAAATAGTCAGGCACACATCACATTCACCCATCATTCCTCACATATAATTTCATTCACACACATATAGTCATAGCCATCTATCAATTGCAGATTTCATGTTCCATATTCGGGCCGCTTCATGACCCGAATACCATATTTGTTTCCATACGATTAATAAGTTAGAATTTAATCACTACACATTTGCTATTCCGCTATACCCTTGCCCTTCCTTGCAGCTCTGGCCTGCTCGTTGTTACCTTTAAGAAGTTACAAAACCAAGTTTAATTCAATACCAACCACCCATTAACCGTAGACAACCAATTAAATACTAATCGTATAATTTAAAATAACAATGTAATGTAATCGGTATTGTTTTGTTTTCTATTTTATTTATATTTAGCACCCTAGATGTATATATTACTAAGCCCGACGCAAGCATTCTATTTAAATAACCTACTTCCACCTCACGCATACCCTACTCAAATTGCTTTGGTTTCCAGGGTAAACACCATCACCACAAAACCTTTCCCATAAATAAATAATCATTGCCATCTTCACCTACGCATAAAGACATATATCCTCATGCATAATAATTCTGGGAACCACTTTAGAACATGCAGACCCATACATAATTATCCCATACCCACTAGAAACACTTTAACCCATTGTTAGAATTTAAGTGTCCAGTTACCCCTTTGAATCCCTTTCCTGAACGAGAGTACTAATACTCACATAAATACTCACTGTGCATGCAAAGAGTGGGACGGAATTGATCCCTATTATCCTCTCTCGTAGGGTTGTTTCCAGAAGAAAGCACTAGTACTACTACCACCTACCGGCCAAAACCAAGTACTACCAACCCACAAAACCAATTTTTCCATCGAAGAAGCAAATTAATTAAACACATCGCTAATGGAGAAGACAAGCTTACCTTGAGTAACTAATTAATACTCGTTTATCTAACCCCACAGGCTTGCCATTCCTCTTTTTCTATCACAACGCTCCCCAAGGATAATGAGATGAGAAGCTGATGGGGAAGGAAGTGAGAATTGAGAAGAAAGACTTAGTGATCTCTCCTAGCGTTCAAAACATAAGGACTGCCCACCAAAAAATAAGGATAGTCCACTTTATCACCGTTAAACCCTCTTCCTTCACTTAATGGACTTGTAAGTGTCAGGACATATTGGCTTTGGAACTAGAGCTATATTGCAGTTCTTGGGAAAGGTTGAGTTATAATAAATGCATAAGGAAACTTGGCGGGTGAGATAGGGAAATTAGATGAGGTCATGACACTTTTCCCCACTACATTCTTGCCACCATTGAGCTCCATCTAATCCACCATCCACTCTTTTATTCCTAAACGCATAACCCTTGAAGTGAAGGAAGAATGAAACTTTTCACCAAAACAAGTAATTATTTCTTGTCTTTTATTTGGTTCAGGGTACAAACTGTTGGAGGTAATATGAATATGAAGATGGGGTAAGCATTTCCATATTAATGAAGAAAGAATCTAGAGGGGTTTGGAATGGGATCGGTTGCATGTTTTCTCCCTTGTGTTTGTCTACGAAGAGGAGTTAAAGGCATGACGAAATCCTTATTTGTAGCTACTTGGTATATATATATATATGGTGGCTTCTATCGTACATTGGGTAAAATCAAGGGTACGACATATCCTGAGTAAGAAAATGCTATCTAGACATCGAATTAACCAAATTTTTGGGCATGATACTATACCCTAACCTTTGATGGGTGAGCCCTAGGTCTTAGTTTTCTAAATCATAGAGTCTAACCCCTAAGATTGTGCATGTAATTTGTTGCATATATTTCAACGAATCATGACTGTTGATTTTTGTTTCTTAATAAGTTGATCTTCGTGTATGAGATTTATAGAGATAAGACATAGATTCTAATCTTTAAGAGTTTGAGAATAGTACAAGATGCGAAACTCAAGTCAACTTAAGGTCTAAATATCATTTTCTTACTCAAGGTACGACATACCCTGGATTTTACCCGGGGTGCGATAGAATGGTCCATATATATATATATATATAATAATGTAGTTTAGCATACATTTACTTATTAATACGCATACTCATAGAAAATTTAACATGTCTTATCCTTTCATACACAAGATATTCGTATTAAGTCATTTAAAAGGAGAGGGGTGTGACAAGAGACCCTTGACCTTGGGAAGTATCTTGGTGTGCCGATTCTACATGGTAGAATGACGAGGACTACTTATAGATATATCTTGGAAAAAATTGATAACAAGCTGAATTCATGGAAAGCAAGGCCTCTATCCCTCATGGGAAGGGTTACACTTGCATTAGCTGTTCTGAATCCCATCCCTAACTATGTGATGCAAACCACCTTGCTTACGTGTTTGGTCTGCGATGCGATATATAGGGAAACTAGGAGGTTCGTTTGGGGATCTAGTGAAGGAAATAAGAAAACACATCTTGTCTCTTGGGATACTATTTGTAGACCGACGAACCAAGGGGGTTAGGTCTTCGATCGGCTAGATGCCTTAACTCAGCTTATATGATTAAACTTGCATGGCAACTTTTCAATAACCCCCGGGCTTGTGGGTGAAGGTGGTTTAGGGAAAGTACTTTAAACAGAAGGATGTGATGATCTTAGCAATGAAGAAAAGCAATCATTCAATCCTGTAGAGAGCAATTGTTAAGGCTATCCCTTTGATGGAAAAAAGGATTATGTCACAATATCAGAAATGGGGAAACAACAAGTTTTTGGCATCACCCTTGGTTGAGCCATGACATCACATTTGAGGACCACTTGAGTGTTGATATTACTGCTGAGGAATGAGAGTTATCTGTGGCTGATTGGACTAATGAACAAGGTGAGTGAGACTGGTTCAGGTTAAGGAACATCCTTCCTAATGTTATTCTTAATTTATTGCATGAATGGAAGCGCTTAAGCCACATCTGGGAGAGGACAAAACCATTTGGCGTGCAGAAAGAGATGGAAGTTTCAGAGTGAGGTTCGGCTAGGACTTAGCAGCGGATGCTGATGAGGATGTTGCAGATTAAGACTAGAAGATGCTTTGGAGATTGAAGGGCCCTAGCCGCATAAAGCTCTTCCTTTGGTTTGTCATTCATGATTGCCTGCTCACAAACAAAGAGCGGGTGAGAAGAAAAATGGCAGATAACAACAGCTGCAACTATTGCAAAGATGATGATGAATCGACAAAGCATTTTATCCACTGCCGCCCGAAACCCAAGTCTGTTTAGAGGAAGCTTAAAGAGAAGATGGTTGAAAGAAACCTCAACACCCCTTTCAAAGATGGGTTGATGAAAAACCTGACAGATGACGAACTTGGAGTTGATATCAGAATTCTGTGTTGACAGCTCTGGAAACAAAGAAATGAAGAGGTGATGGATTCTACAAAAATCTCAGAACAAGGTGTCATCTGCAGGATCAAGGCATGGTTCAATATTGTCAAGCAAGCTGAAGTTTGGCTTAAAAGAACAACCCCCGAGGCACTAGGATAACCTGTGATAGACGGATCGCTTGGAAGACCCCGCTTGAAGGGGGGGCTCAAGTTCATACTGACGGTTCAGTCCACCCATCCTCAGGGAAAGCTGTTGGCGGTGGTTTGATCCGTGACTACCAAGTTAGGTTCAGCATGGCTTTTGTCTGCAATTCGGGACACTGCTCCATTACCTGTGCAGAACTCAAGAGAGCGATTAAAGGGCTTCGTCTGGCATGGAGCGAAGGCCACGAGAAAGCGGAGCTTACCCTTGACTCGAGCACGACAATTGCTATTATGAACAACTTTTCTGATGATGAGAACAGGCAGGGGCTGCTCACCGAAACATTGGAACACCTTTTGAGCCTCGAGTGGGAGGTTAAAATCAATCATGGTTATAGAGAATCCAACTGTGCGACGGATTTCTTGGTAAATATGGGTCACTCGTCCCCTTTTGGGGGCTAAAGTTAGGACAGGACAACATGACGAGAAATGGTACATGTCCCGTTTAAAACTTGTACCCATTCTCATTTGAAGTAGAAAATTCATCCCATGTCCCAAATCCGTATGGGTTAACAGGTACCCATTACCCATAGGAATGGATAACGGGTACCCAATCGAACCATAAATACCGAAAGACTGAATCATTTAAATTTTTTAAAAAGTTGAAACTCAACAACGTACACCTACTGAACTGCAATGGTTGCACCTGTTGAAACTATAATTGCTGAAATAACAAGGTACTTAAAGTACACAATTCATCTGTTGTCGACATCTGTGGTGGTTGCTCGATATATGTCTAAAGCGCTTGATTTAAGGGCCTTAATTTCACGACCAACTTGGGTAAGATCTCACATCTGGTCTTTGTATAAGGAATTAAGGATTCACAAAAGAATATAATGGTTGGCTATTGCTAGAGAAACAGAGCAAGTTAGAATGATAAATGTTTTATAAATTCAGAATTATTATCTAAACTAGTGTGTATTACAGGTACCCATAATTCCCAAAGAGGATTTGCGGGTACCCAATGTAAGAATTTACAACGCCAAGTCCCATCCCGTATAAGTCTTACATGCATTATGGGTACCCAAAATCCTAAAAAGTCGGACGGGTATGGGTATACCCAAATACTCGTTTTCCGTTGCTAGCTCTAGCTAAAATGGGACTGATTTGTGGGGGGGGGGGGGGAGGGGCTAAAATGAAGGGCTATAATTTCAGGACCAGCAGCTGAAATAAAGCACCAACGGCGAAACGATCTCCAGCCACGGTCCCTGGCATTACGCTGCACGTGCGCACATGACTAGTGACTCGTCCAGAATACTACAATTAATTCGCGCCTAAGGTCCAAGAATAAACCTTATTCGGGTGTAGTACGGGGCAAGTATGTTTAAATATCAACTCGGGCAGGTCCGTGTACCCCTACTTCGGTAATTTGAATCATTATCTAGCGACTCCGTTTTGGTTGAAAAGTTTGCTAATTAAAGTAAAGCAAAGTAAAAGTAAATGGTTTTGAAAGCTCTTTTGTGAGAAGAATCACTCGGGTGTCACTTCCCCCTAACTACTTCCATGGTATGCGAATCGAAACGATTGCTATGGGTAAGGAGACCTAGCGGTTAAGGTGACCGCGAACCGCTAGAGGACGCAAATATGGTCATAGAGCACACTCTCGATTGCTAAATCGAGGGATACATTATAAGTTGTCACTCGGCCCTCTCGGTTTAGGCAATTGATGGTTGACTTACTCCCTCACTCAACCCAACGGTTTGTCGGCTTAATCGCGCTTAACCAAAATGCTTAATCCAACATCGAGGTTTGCCCTAAATTAACCTAGATAGGTGCCTTAAAAAGCCCTAGGAATACCAACTCAATTTAGCCTCCCTTGAAAAAGGGTTTTCCCTCTCTAGTCTATGTTAAATTGGCCAATTAGATTGCTAAGCACAAACATGCACAATCAACATGAATAATACCTCAATCGTTGAATTAAACAACACCCATAAACAATCATTCAATTCACATAACAAAAACTACATGGTAGATAGTTAGGGTTTCACAACACCCAAGTGAAAAAGAAATCTACTCCATGCTAGAAATAGGAGAAACACAATGGGAAGAGATAGAAAACATCATTGAGAGGCTTCCAATATTCTTTGCAATTGTTCTGAACTTCTCTTGGGGAGAATCTTCCCAAATCCACTCTAGGCGCAAAACCCTAGCCTCCTTCTCCTTTGGTTCGTCTTTCTCTCTCTCTAAAAGTTGAACAAGAAGACTTTCTCACTATATGGGCTCCCCTCTCTTCCTTTCAGCTCTTCTTTTAAACAGGGATCGTGGTAAGTTCACGGCCTCAGTTCACGGTCGTGAACTCTGAAACGCGTCCGTGAACTCAAGATGGGCGTTGAAACGAACCGCTTTGCTTTCACGGGTTCACGGTCTTAGTGACTGTGAACTCAATTAGCGTCAGTAACTTGAGATTTGGCCCTGGACGCCTTGATGTTCAAGTGCAACAGCTTCTCTTCACGGTTTAAGCAGACCATGAACATCCAAGGAAAGTCGTGAAACTTTCAGCTCCTTTTCGTCCAACTTCGACTCCGGGGCTGGTTTCACTTGTTGGATCCTGAAACATGCTAAAACACAAGAAACCTTGCGTAAAACCACCCTTTTAGGAGCACAATTGCCACAAACGCCTAAGGAAAATGGGGGTAAAATATGTACAATTAGGCTCGAATCACTCCCCCACACTTACACGTTTGCTTGTCCCCAAACAAACCATTTCACACAAGTTAATATTTCAACCTACAAACATACTTTGGGGACAACTCAAAGGGCACTAAGTGGGAATTCTCAATGGCTATTGGCAATTAATGCATGGACCATTGCAAGCAATACCGACATCCACCACAAACGACATTCGAAGCCACCAAAAATGGGCAAATGGAAAGTTCTCACCTTTTTAATGGATCAATGCAAGTCTCAACAAGACCACTTATCAACCACAACTAACCATTCATAGAATTCAAGTTCGAGAAAAAAAATGGAAAGGCAACAAAGGTCCTCACTGGGGTATGATATGGCATGCAAAACAAGAATGAATCACTCACTTCAAGACCAGTGGGGTAAGGACTTTTTTGGTGCAAAATATGTGCACAATAATCAACACTCGGCCCTATCGTCTCAATACCACGGAGGTAACCTCTAAATGCTAGAGTTCACGGGATGGTTGTCATCACTAGCTTGTCCGAAGGTCTTAGACACGGGTTAAGATGACTGGCAATTGTATTGGACATGGGGAAAAGGATTTTTGGGTGGTAGCAATCATGACATGAGGTTCTACATCTTGAACCTAAACCCGAAGGTTCTATGGTTTCGAATAAAATCCTTCTCTTCAACCCAAGGCCACTGGCATCGGCCAAAAACCTTATCTCTCCCTTCCAAATTATCACACATCGTGAATTACATCAAAGCACTCTTCCTCGATCAACTCTTGCTATCACATTAAGGTTTGGTAGTGAAGGAGTTCTAAAACAATGTGGGGTTTCAATGGCTTGAGTGCTAAGAAACCCCCCTACGAGCATACACTTTGGTTTTCCGCGACACTCTCTACTTCATTTACCCCGTTTTATTACCTTTTTCATTTCTCTTTTTTTAGGGGGTACTAGAGAGTAAAACCTTTCCACCTATACTTTTAACGTCCAATACTCTCTTTTTGAAGATCTCACTCCAACACTACACTTCATTTTTCATTCCTAGCAAGAACCGCACACAAACCTCCTATGTAGAACCTCAATGGAACTCGAAAGCGAGAGCTCCGGGACAGAATGACGACTCATGTCTAGACACAAAGAAAGGATTGGCATCGTTCTATTAACACCATTAAGCTCACAAGCAAGAAGCTCCTAATTTAAGAACAACCCTCGAAGTTACAAGGCTCAATGAGGTTGACTAAGGGGTAATACATTTCGGGACAATCAATATTTGGGTGTGGACTAATCCTATACCTCCATCATACTCACTAGTGACAACTGTGATGTTACACGCCATGACAACTCTGAAAACGATTGGCTCAACGCTCACATGGCAACCTAGTCACCCAACCATCTATTCCAATTCACAAACACAATGCATCGCAATTGTAATCCATAAGTAATCGAATCAAGACGTCCATTCATTTATGCACACATGAGAACTAAACTTTTTCACTATCCTAATGGACCTCCCAATCATCAGCATAGGATATACTCGATCACATGCAACAATTCAAGATCAATGCCAATAAACACGAGATTTTTCCATACACCCGCCACTTTGATCATGCAAACATTGCTTGGAGCCCTCAAATTTTTTAAATTTTGGCAAACATAAGGCTTTAAGCATCAATCACACTCACACAAACATAATAGTAAACTACCCCCCCCCCCCCACTTTAGCTCGACATTGCCCTCAATGGCGAAAGAAAGGAGTAGAATGATGTTACCACTTAGGCTTGGTGAGTGAAAGTTGGAATTGATTCTGGGGTCGGGTATTTTGAGCTTCAAGGAGAGACAAAAAACACACACAAACACAATACGACTCGGTCGAGGCGAGGTTATTAGAAATACAATACGATAGTAGTAGTAGTAGTAGTAGTAGTAGTAGTAGTTTATGGTCACACACAGACAAAAGAAAGAAAAAAAAACAAGTTTAGGGTTACAAGTGGAGAAGTGGGCGAAAGAAATCGACTCTGCCACGTAACTCACTCGTCAGCTACTTCCCTCGTCTGGAAGGAGGCCCTGACATCGAGCCATCAGCATGAGGAGATCGATCTGCCAGTCGAGGCGAGAAGTGACTACCACGAATCTCGTCTCTAGGGGATCCACCCTCTAGACGAGGGGATCACCTTCTGGTGCTGGTGTTGGCTGGGCTGGGTGCTGGAGCGCGGGACGCCAACGGCGGCCGTGTGCTCAAGTAGGTGGCTTCTCTGCTGGTGGTGGGACCTCAGGGTCAGCTCCACTGCAGCCATATCAACTGCTGCTCTAATGACTCTTGATGGTCGGAGTCCCTCGAGATACTCCACTTCTCACTCTCCTTGGAGTACCAGCTTCTGGTTGTAAAGTGTCTCCACTAGAAAGACAACCGTTCTCCTGACGCTGGTGCCCCGATCCAGATCCACATGGAAGTGTCGGGCTATCCTCGTAATAAGGCCCCCCATGTGCTTGGTGTACACTCTGTTCCACCCCAGACACCGGGCGAAAGAAGTGGTGATCAAAGATCCTTGATGGATCGGCTCCGCTAGACTCCTCATGGAGTAGAGGGCAATTAGCCCTCTGTTCGTCATTAGATGGCATCACTGGAGGCTGGGGACGACTAAGCGTGTAAGCAAAATGTGGAGGATCCTCTAAGGGGTCCTCAGCTTCACCGCATTGGTGCGGCTCCCCTCAAAATCTTCGTGCTCATGCTC